CTGATCATAAACTGATCCAAGTATTGAATCAGTTACGCCACGGAAAGCCTAGGGATAACTATATGAATCCAAGTGCCTTCTATGCATGACCGAAATCCCCGATATCTCACAAATCTGAGCCTGATCCACCGGTTCCCGCCCCTCACACTCATCTTGATTGATGAGATAAGACTTTCTAACAAATCTAAAGTTGATTGTTCATATCTATTTCAAGTCTTAACAGTTAAGACAGAAGGTGCGTTTTCAGCTGTGATTTCTATTGATACATTTGTTGTTGTGGAATCACTTGTTATGGTGAACATGTTCCTGTTAAAAAATGGTTGTATTTTGAGTTTCCCTCCCCTTGAGGTCACTCACTATACACACCATCGACTATATTCTTTCCCCATACATTTCCCACTGCGAAATGTTCTTTTCCCCGGGTTTCCTAACCAGTACGTACTAAGCTAATGTTTGCAGGTGTAGAAAATTTGATTCTTGAGCTGGATCTGCTCTCTGAAAGGAGATAATTTCTTCTGCACCATCCTTCGTACGGCTGACGATCTGCTCGGAGCAACGACTGTCGATAATCTCGGCTTAGCTGGTGTTTTGTTCTAGTATATCTTCTTCTGGATACATGGTCATATACTTGCACCATGGATATTACTACGATTCTAAACAAAAAAGGAACAGCCGCCGTTGCAGCTGCAGAGGCTCATCTACAGCAACATTTAGTCCACGCCACTCATATGAAATCAAAAACGCCTTCAGAAATAAGCTCTGAACACGGAACGCCCCAGAATGGAGATCAGTCGAATATTTATCATCCTACCTCACAACCCAACCCTCAACTAGTTGGTTCCTCGAAATACCATCATTCTCAATCACAGGGGCACGCAGGGATTCCTCCCGTTCGATCTAACTATGTTCAGGACGGCCAGGGAATCGTCAAATACCTCCAAAATGGAAACGGAGGCAATGGAAGGTCAAGCGGGGAACCTGTCCCCAAAACTTTTCATTGTTCAACATGCAGTAAAGGGTTCGCTCGTCGGAGTGATCTTGCTAGACACGGTATGGAATATTAACCCTCATTCGATGCCGTTGATTTGGTTTCTGACATCGTCCTTAGAGCGTATCCATAGCGGAATCAGGCCCCACGTTTGTGATTGGCCAGGTTGCGGAAAGCAATTTATCCAGCGGTCTGCATTGACCGTTCATACACGTGTTCACACGGGCGAGAAACCACATATGTGCGACCGATGCGGGAAGGTGAGCTAGTTTGCCCCTTTGCAAAGTATGGCTTATGTTGCCCATGCTAAGAGTTTTCGTACAATAATAGCCTTTCAGTGATTCAAGCTCCCTTGCTAGGCATCGCAGGATACATTCAGGAAAACGGCCATACAAATGTCCATACGCGAATTGCCAGAAAACCTTTACACGTCGGACGACTTTGACACGACACCAGAATCATCATACTGGAACGATCGAGGAGGCTGCGGCCGAGACCGAAGCCAACTTGCGCCAAAACAAGGAGAGAGCTGTTCGTCCACCTGATGGAATGTATTCAGAGGCTGGTTCCACTCAATCGACGCCTTCTCCAGGTCAACGCCTTTCTTTATCTCCCGGAAATGAATTACCTCCCATGTATCTACCTCGCCAAATGAGTGATTACTACATGGGTAATACGCCGATTCCCGCACACCTGCGAGGTGACTTCCAGCAAGCCAGCCCACGGGCGTCTCCATCTACCTCATCGCCTCCACTTTCCACATACAGCAGTGTGCCCCACGCTCGACCGTCCATGACATCGCATCCAAGTGGATACGGACCACCTCAGCCGGTTGAACCTCCAGCAAACAGCGATCCCCGGCCAAACAGCGTAGCTGGAAGCCCACACATTACGAGCATGGGATGGGCATCACCAACTCTTCACAGTATTGGCTCACCGGATTCTGCTTCAGCAACCGAATATTCATACCCAGAACCCTCTGCACCTTCTTACCCATCTCAAATACCGCCTCACATGTATTTCCCCAACTCGACAATACGAAGGCCACAGAGTACCGAACCGGAGAACTATGAGCCGAAACCCAAACTGAATGGAGATTCATGGACTACGCCTGTTTAATTGGGGTATGTCACCACTTCCTGAAAGGAAGAATAAATAAACTCACTCGGATGATGTGGCTGCCTACAAAATGCGGTGTCCTTCTCCTCAACTTTTACTGCTATGTTTCCTTTTTTGTCTTTCTGCATTTGGTTGTTTGTTTCGTAGATACCCTACCGCTATCTCGTGAACATTGACGACGGGTTGTTGTACACTAAGAATACCACGCTTTATTCCACCCTTTGCATATGTCTTTTTTATCGTTGCCGCATACGTCGTTTCTGGCTACTTCTGAGAGCCGTTTTCTTCTCCAAAATAAAAACTCCCTATATCTGTTACTTCCTGTATTTTCTTTTCATATATCAAGTTTGTTGTCCTCATCTGTTAGCATTTGTGTTTATTTTGTTTGTTGCCCCCCTTCTCCCCCTTGAACAGGACGTTTGTTGAGTTCTACAGATGGTAATGAAAACTTTGAGAGGAGGAACGTCAATACGGAGTATGTATGGGTGCCTTCAGTCGGGTTGGCATTTGAAATGGTTCTTTTCTCTATCCTTCGACTTGATATGCGTGGGATTGACTGCGCTGAACAAAACGCTATATTTTTAATATTATTAATATTATTATTACTATTATTTACCCCAATCCCTGTTTAGTTTCTTGCCGTGCAGTAGATTGTTTTCTCGTAATATTTGTGGTGTTTGAATCTGGAATGTAAGTCAACTGCTGTGTGTGGTATTAGTGCTTGTGTGATTTTAGGTGACGTTCAATTCTTTTATTACCATGATTCAGATAGGTTTGATGCTTCAAATGTCTGCTATTTTATTGAAAGGAGGGACATGGAAATAATTCACCCTTATCTATTCAAATATGAACACCTAGAGTAAGGTGACTTTGTGCCTTTCCATAGGCTCGAACCGAAATGAAGGCACATGTGTGTACAGTACAATATAAGATACAGTATAGAGCAATTGACAATGCAATGATAATGCAGCTACGCTCATAAACACTCTCGAAATAAGCAAATAAATAAAGTCCTACTCGGGGGCCTTCCCCCTCTGCACCGCCCAAAAATAATTCCCCAACCTCTCCGTCCCAGGAATCAACTTCCACCCCAATCCGGGAAAATACATCGCTCCCACACACTTCCACCTCATCCCAGTTCCATCTCCGCCGTCACTACTCCCATCAATCTCCCTCAGCCCCTTCCCAGCCCACCTCTTCAATTCATCCTCGTTCACAAATTTATCCCAATCATGCGTACCCCGCGGCACCACACCAATCGGCCATGGGGCTTCCGCAATAACCTGATTAACAATGTATGACGGCAGTGTGCGCGCGATTGTCGAGCCTATAAGCCAGCCTCCTGGTTGTAGGAGTTGGAGGCATTGCTTTATGAAGGAGCATGGGGAGGATGTGTGTGGGTTGACGTGTTCGAGGACTTCAAAGAGTGTTATTATGTCGAACTGCTGGTGTGGGGAAGATGTGGATGTGGATGTGGATGGGGGTTGGGAGGGCTGTTGGAGTGACGGCGAGGATGTGGATGTGGATGTGGATGTGGATGATGATGCTGCGGATGCGGATGTGGATGCGGGCGAAGGGGAATGGGAGGCAAGAAGCGCCTCTAGTGTTGTGTTTTCATATTTAAATCGGCCTGATTGAAGGTGGGAATGCACAAGTGGGTCGGCGCGGGCATGAGAGGTTGCGATTTTTATCATTACCGGGGAGGGGTCGATGGCTAGGATCGAGGAAGCATGTGTTGCAGGTGACAAATTTTGGTTTAAGTTTGAATTTGCGCTTGTGGCTGTGTTTAGATCGGAGGTAATTGTCCGTGGAAGTGGTGGGATAGTGCGTGCGAGGGATTCAGCGAAGATGCCGCCGCCGCATCCTATGTCGAGGTACCGTAGGCCCCGGTTGGTATTTGTGGATGCGGTTCCATTTGCACCACTGCTGTTAGTAAGTACGTCGCTTGTCTCGTAGTTATGAGAAGAGAGGGGATTAGATTCCGCAATACAGGACGCTATAAAGTCATGGCGGAGGGGGTTCATGAGATGTAGGATGCGCGACGGCCCCAACGGATCCCACCAGCCGCTAGCTAGGGAGGAGAAATGGGTGAGCTCGTCTGTAGATACGGAGGAGTGGTACCAGACTCTATTGAATTGTGTGGTTATGCTCTTCGGGACATGGCGAAGGAGGAGGGAAATGCTCCGCCCGGCGGATCCGCAGGGGCGAAAGGAGAGAGCCATTGCTCCCTGGCTCAGTACAGTACACTTCCTGCACTAGGTGACAGGGTACTTAGGGAGTGAGGTGAAGTTTCTGGTGGTTGGTTACCCTCAGATAGTATTATGGATAGAGTTTTCGGAGGTAAAATTGGCGGCCTATAAGCCACTGGGGATAGTTATATGCTGCTAGAACTCAAGAAGAGAGGGAGATATGCCATGCCTCCCGAAGCGCAATCCAAATCCCTCGTTATCAGCAACCGGCAGATCAAGGAATCTCACTTGACTGCTGCTATCCACAGCGTATTCTGCTGTTGATGTAGTTACGGCATGTCACATGGGATTTTTAGTTATGTTGAAGTTGACGTTGATATGCAAACATGACAAACAGACCCAGCAGCGGCTTTGCGATGCGATGACAAAAATATCTGGATGCTTCAACCACGGTATCTCTTGAGGACTATGTATGGCAGCTATCTTGAACGATTACTGAAATGGGTACTAACATTGAGGATAAACCTCTCCATTCGACATCTCGAGGAAATCTTCTCCTATTGTAGTTTTGTTGCTTGTGTATGTTATATGGCCCTTGTGCACGTAATTCCAGAGGCGCTGTATGTATATTTTATGTACAGTACAATGTTATCAACACTGCTTCAAGCATATCAAGAACAAACAATTTCTCCTCAACATTGGATTTAAGACTTCGACACCGAGCACCGTTCAGAGGCAGTGACAGAAGGATTCGACTCCGAAGTGGCCTTCAGTTCAATTACAGCAGTGAGTGCAGCGCCTCTGTCTGCAGCTACCGCAACATCCACTGTCATCCATTTTCCATTTTCGGCGGTGGTTAAGGCATTGGGCAACTCGACCCTCCAGCCTTTGCCCTTCACACTGGCGCTGAGCCGGTATACGTCCGACTTTAGGTACGCAGATACATCTTGTGGGTGGTGGTTTCCACCGCCGGCAGCTGAGTATGAACCGGTATTATGGACCCTGAATGAACAAATAACGCCCATGCGAGTTGGCGTGTTGGGAAAGCTGGATTTCATCTGGCCACGCTTGACCTCGACGCCACGTTTGTGCTTGTCCTTTGTGTCGAGAGACCGGACAGCAGTTGTATACGAAAGTACGCCCTTATTCTCCCGGTGGATATCGATGATATAAAAGTGGAGGCTATTGGCTTCATCGACGTACTCGAACTCACTGCCGGAGCGGGTGCCAGCATGGAAAAGGGCATCAGCCAACTGGCGGTAGTCACCAACAGTGATCATCGATGGTGTTCCATCTGGCCTATAGAAGTCGACGAGTTTCAAATCTTGCGGGTTCGCATCAATAGTCCACTGGAAAGTACCTCGGGACTCAGTCTTGACTTTGCTAATCATGACGCCCGAGTCTGGAGTGAAGGAGTCTGGGCCCATGCGGTCGATAACCTCGATGTCGTAGCCAGTGTAGCCTCCACCGTCGCAGAATGGGTCAGTCTTCGTATCACAAGCGGGCGACCTGTCAGCATCCATAGCAATTCGAATGCCAATCAGTTCCCCATTAGTAGGAGCGACAGAGCGTGCGGTTAAACGGGCAACGACAATGCCCGAGTTGGCCAACCCTTCGCGTGACAACTGAACGAGAGTTTTGGCGTCGAGCAGTTTGAGTTGATTCTTATCGCGTATGGTGTGCAGAGATCCCAAGGAGCCGCCCTGGGTGGGTGGGATCTGCCAACGTGTATGAGGGCCTCCTGGACCGTTAAAGCTTCCGCGAGACAACATGGACCAAGGTCCAGTAAAAGCCCGCCTGGCCGGGACACCGTAGGGATTGTTGTAATTATCAGGAATGTTAAGTAGATGGCTCAGTTCATGGGCATATGTGCCCATACCCGAGCTCTCACTTTGGGTTGATGATCCGCCCCCAGCATTGGGCCAGATGCAGGCCGCTGAGGCCCACGAAGTCCACTCGACATAGCGGGTTTTTGCCGAATTAGACAGCGATTCATTGCCGGTTCTTGGAGGCCCGAACTCGCTAGGGATATCTGCTGGAGTCTGGAAGCGCATTTCGCCAAACTCCTGCCATGATGATGACTCATCCTGACCGGCAGACAGGATAAATATGAGTTCAAAGGAGTCTGCTGCCTGGTCACCAATATCCACACGCCAGGCACCAAGCGCGTCCGTGCGGAGATTAATATCACACTCCTCGCCGGGAGGGCATGCTCCCTGGTTCATATCCGAGCCAAGACCGTACTGGTATGATTTCGAGGTCATTTTGTATGGACCAAAAGGCGTGAGATCGACACCAAAATGGCCCATCGAGTCCGTCATCCAGTACTCATGAAGTGTATGTCCATGGTTGAGATCAATGGGTTTGTTGAGGAAATCACGGTAAAAGGATGGCACCTCTTCACGCTTGATTCCAGCCGGAGCATTTGGCTGCGGATTACCGAAGACTGTCGATCCTGGCGCCTGAGTAATGACAAACGGCATGTCGGGGTAGTCGACAGTGACCAGTGCAATGTTAAAGTTGCGTACTGAGCCTTTCTTATTGGGGTCCGACCAGTTGGTTCCTGGAGGGGCTTTCCAGTCAGCCCAGGTCATATTGTCTGGGTTGACCCAGTTCTGCGGATCGAGAATGGCAAAAGGGTCAATGTTGCTGTTACTGGGACGATCGCCAATGCCATTCGTTTCATCTTCGATGGGGAGAGCCCTTGCAGGTTGGCTAAGTCGAGATAGTGACAGGACACTGACGAGGAGGGTTCCTAGGGCCCCCTGGCGGAGGGCAGATGCATCCATGAGCTGCATCCTTTCTTTCAGCAGTGAGGATTGATAGAAGCCCAGAGGACTAATGTTCGGCGTGAATCGAGTGTCCACCCTGCTTGAACAGGAAACACGCCAGGCGGGGGAATTTGACTCCCAAGGAACCCCAGAGATGCGACAGCCCAACCTGCTATTTTATTATTACTGCTCAAACGCCAACGGATGGTGTCCATGTCCCGTATGTAAAGTACAAACACTCTGAACCCAGCACACCCTGTAGACATGGACTCCATAAGTAACTACCCTCGTCACGACAACTGGAACGGACAGTTTGCGCCTATCAGCTGACGAGTTGTGGACCAGGCCAAAGCATCCATGTAGTACGATGCAACCTCAAGGCCGGCATAACTTTGGCAGGATATGTGTCTTCTGCAACCATCCAACGTCGATTGGGTGTTTCGACGCCGTCTTCGTCGGCGTTAAAATTAAGTAGTTAAACAAGCCCCAAACCCCAACCCCAAGCGCTTTGCCAAGATAAGCTTAAATTTTTGCCCCTGTAGAGATCCATCCTGTAAGTAGTTCAGTTAATCTTAACCGTCGGATGAAGAGAACTCTCCAACCACATCCCCCCCCTGTGCGCTGCTGGCTCCCTGGAAGCTAGGTAGGTCTCCCCCCATTGGTCGGGATTAGTTGTGTCAACAGCGTAGTTTCAAATTTACCTTTCTTCGCCGTCAGAGATAGTTAACTATCGATAGTTAGATGCTAAAGCTAAAGCAGTGTTGGCTCAAGAAGTCGCTCAAACACTACCAATAATCCGCGATTCGTGTTTTGCTATTTCTTCATGGAACCATCAAGGTACCTAATGACGCTCTCTGGACAATAGCAAATGCAGATTTATTAGGGTCAAGTTCCCAAGGTGACTTGGGAGATAAATGCTGAACTCACCTGACAAACAGATGCATGATGATCCTTCGGAACTTGTTGGACCCAATCTTTTGACTCTTAAGAAAGCAGCAACGAAAATTTTGAAAAGGAAAAAAAGTCAGGATCCAGAGGCAAATATATAATTACACATATATTTATATATATATACTCATCTTACATATGCAGGTATATACGTAGCTCATGACTCGTATCTAACTACTTCAAAGATAGATAGCTCAACCATACAAATGTCCGAGCCCCTCTTCTCCCTTTCTTAAACAATTATAAACAGGAGAAAATCGAACAACTATTTTCGTCGGAAGCCTTAATTGGACCCCCTCCTTCAAATGGCTGTCAACAAATCTGTTCCCAGGAGTTCCACAAAACCAATGCAAAAACGCCCGAGTCAAAGCAACAACAGCAAAAAAAATAAAAACATAAATATAAAAATATAAAAATTAAAAACCACAACAAACCGAGAAAATTAAAGGTATCCTGTACAACAAACATCCCAGAACAAACAAGAGAAAGAAATTAAAGATCCGTAGTCATAAAAGAGGGGGAAAGGGGGATTTGCGGGTCAATGTGATATCATATATCCCCATGTCTCACCCCTCAAACCTCCTCCTTCACCCTCCTGGAACCCAAAGAATGGTCAGTCCTACCCCGTGGGCGTGAAGAAGTGTTATCCCTTCCACTAATGCTGGACCTCGAACTTTCAGGGATATAACTCTTCTCGCTACCCCTAGTGAGCGTGCGAGCAAAGGAGAAGAATCCCTGTCTAAGACCCAATTCATGACTTGGCCAACGTCGCCGGAAGCCCGTTGCAGGAGTGACACCTTCATAATCTTCTCCCTCCGAGAACCAGCCAGTTCGTCGCTTGGTCATCTTCCACGCCTCCACGCCAAGTATGAATATGAATATCGAGCCAAACGCCAGACCCCATTCCCATGTTATGCCACGGTGCTTGAAGACCTGCGTGTTTAGACCGGGGATGTAAACGGCGGGGAACACTGAGACGAAGCCGATGACCACGGCCCAGAAGAGGAATTTGTTCTCGTAGATGTCGTGGAAGAATGGGAAGGAAGGGAAACGATCTTCGCTGCGGTCGCGGAGCGGGTCGAGATTGAACATGCTGTTGCGGAGGTGTTTGAATTCCCAAGCAGAGAAGAGGATTAGCCATGTAAGTTCGGCAAAGACGGCGGCACGGGCGCGGAATACGACATGGCAGCTCTCATTATCAAAACCGTTGCAGTCGTGTCCTAGATCCTCCTTTCCATTTCCGGCACCGTAGATGATAATGACGAATGTGAGCAGCGTACAAGCTCCCATAATTACACCGTAGATTACCATGTCAAAGACGATTTGCCAGGTAAAAACACCCTTTTTGGTATCGTGAGGTGGACGACGCATCGAAGCCGCAGAGGCCTTCTCACGACCCAGGCCGAATGCAGGGAATGAAGACGTCAACATGTTAATCCAGAGAATCTGAAGTGGCGAGAGAGGAAAAACAGAAGTTTCATTCTCATCCTGAAACGCGAGTCCAACAATGAGTAGCACAACTTCGCCGACGTTGGAGGTGAGGAGGTGGAGAATGAACTTCTGGATATTATCGAACATCCGTCTACCTTCCTCAATTGCATTCACAATGCTGGCGAAATTATCATCCGTGAGCACAATGTCAGCGGCAGACTTAGCCACATCTGAGCCAGCCATACCCATAGCGATACCAACGTCCGCAGCTTGGAGGGACGGAGCATCATTGACTCCATCTCCTGTCATGGCACAGTATCTGTGGCGACGATGGAGGGCAGCAATCATTCGAGTTTTGGTATCTGGTGCGCATCGTGCGATTACGAGGGGAAGGGACGGTAGAGCATCAAGTTCTTTGTCAGTCATGGCGTCAAATTCCGCTGCGGTTTTCACGAGTGACTTAGCCTCCTCCGCTGACAGTGTGCCTGGGTTGCGCGGGAGGATGCCCACTTCCTTAGCGATAGCGGTCGCAGTTGACGGATGATCACCAGTTAACATGTGAACACGAATTCCAGCCATGGTACATTCTATGAACCAACAAAGTCAGTAACCTTCTCAATTATTTGAAGCATGATAAATGAATCATCTTTGTTGGAAAAGGATCTTTGTTGGAAAAGGAAGGGTTGGGGGGGTGGGGGGCGGAAAGAAACATGCCTTTGACAGCATCCTTTGTCTCCAACCTAGGGGGATCATATAAACCAGCCAGCCCAAGCAGAGTCAAGTCCTTCTCAATTTCTTCCCGTGGAATTTCAGAATGAGAATGGACATCAGGGGGACCAGCTTTCTGCGCGATTCCAAGCACACGCAGGCCCTGTTCTGCAAGGAAATTCATCTGCTCGAGAATTCTCTCTTTAGTTTCCGGAGTCATGGCCTCTTGGTGATCTCCCGTTCCGACACTAGTGCAAAGGTCGATAATTCTTTCGACAGCACCTTTCGTAAAAACACGAGTTTCGCCATCTGTCTCACGGATGTAGATAACTGACATTCGCTTCACGCTGCTATCAAAGGGATACTCAGATATTTGCTTCCAGCCATATTGCGTCTCGAGAACCCTCTTTCCAAGCCCAAATCGGTGAGCAAACACTTGCAACGCAATCTCAGTGGGATCACCCATCGTCTGCCAGGTGTTTGATTCTGGATCATGACGAACAGTTGCCAAATTACACAATGCGGCGGACTGAATGAATGCCTCGAGTTCAGGAACCATCTCAGGCATGACATCCTCCTCAATATCTTCACTCTTTTCAGGAGAAGAGTCATTCCGTTCCTCAATGCGACGTTGGTCACGTTCCTCCTTTTCAGCCGGGATATCAAATTTCAGACCAGCAGCAGAACGCAACCTGTCTTGCTCGGCACGCTTGCGCTCCCGTTCCTGTTCAGCCTCCTGCTTTGATGCTGGGGGTTGTCCTAACACTATTGTTCCTCGAGTGGGATTGTTGGCATCGTCAGACTGGTGGAGACTGTAAATACCAACACCTGGAATCCAAGCTTTCCGTGTAACCATTTGTCCCTGGGTCAAAGTTCCAGTTTTATCAGAGCAGATATTAGTAACGCCACCGAGGGCTTCGAGCGCACTCAGCTGTCGGACGACCACTTTACGTTTCCGCATCTGGGTCATACCGACAACCATAGTGATAGTTAGAACCGCAATGAGGGATTCAGGAATGATAGCAATACCTAAAGACGAATTGGAATAAAACATTAGCAAGGACGTCACCACGATAGAGTCAAAAGGGTATTCAGAAAATCCCAATGCATACCAGTCGAAATAGCATAGATAGCCACCTCACTCGTAACGTTGAAGCGATTCACGCCAAACACGATAATAGCAAGCAAGATAGCGCATCCGAATAGTACGTATGCCAATTTGCTGAGCTTGATTTGCAACGGCGTTCCCTCCGTGAGGCCAAGGAATTTCCCAACGCCGTCCCAGACACGAAGAGCACCGCCTTTGATTGGTTGAAAATTTCCGTACTTTTCCCGAGACATGGAGCGACTAGCTTTGCGCTTTTTCTTCCCTTGCATGGACTGTGCAATTTTTCCGATTTCCGTATACATTCCGGTGAAGACGATAATGCCACGACCGCGGCCCTTGGTAACAGTTGAGGACGAGTAAGCCATGTTTAGCCGGTCACCGACACCAGTGTCCAGTTCAGAGCCCGAAGGGCTGAAGTCGATATCCTTGGCTACCGGCACGGCTTCGCCCGTTAGGATCTTCTCATCACACTCGAGATTCATCGCATCGAAGAGCCTCAGATCCGCAGGGACTGTGTCTCCCATTTTGATTTGGACAATATCGCCAGGTACGACTTCGCCAGACGGGATTGTTGTTTCGTGACCGTTTCTGATCACAGTGGCGGACGGTGAGGAGAGGGAGCGAAGAGAATCCATCTTCTTCTCCGCCTTGAATTCTTGGTAGAAACCGATGAGGACATTGCCCACAATAACAGCGGTAATCACTCCTCCTTCAACATAATCGGAGACCCCATACGAAAGGGCCATGGCTAAGACTAGGACCTAGTCCAAGACAGTATGATTACTATATAGTTCCCACAAGGATGCATACACGGTGAAGTTCAAAATATAAGTTTCAAGGAGAAGCATGAATGTTGTGCAACAGGGAGCCGGGATATCACACAAGCAAAATGGTCAGGAAAACAGTAAAAATCATCTACCGCCAATGTTTTGGCAAACTACATTCTCCTCGGTATTGCCAACATCCCCGATCTAAGAGAACATGGCATATACAGCACACGACCATCAGATCGCGGAGTGGACAGTTGAGAAAAGCGCGACTACCCAGTCGCTCACTGCGACTGGATAATGATGAAAATGATCTCGAAACCGCATTTGTGAGGGTAATAGGGTAAGGAAGAAAAGAGAAAAAAAAAAAAAAAAAAGAGAGAGAGAGAGAGAGAGAGAGGAGGGAAAACGTACCAGAACCATCGCATTGGCAATCTGCTTTCCCAGCAGGGTATACCACTTCACCCCTCCGTCTCCGTCCAGACGGTTGGCGCCATATTCCTCCTGTAGCTTTGGGATGTTTGCATCCAATAAGCCCGTTTCGATATTTGTATGGAGGACTTCGGCCAACTCTTTGACAGAGAGAAGAAAGGGGTGTTTCGTATATTCCTGTTTGGCATCCGTTTTTGGGGGACCCATCACGCAGAAGCTGCTCCTTCCTTCCTTCCTTCTTTCTTTCGTTCTTTCTTTCTGTCTTTAATCGTCTTCCTCTCTTTAGTAGTTATATGGTCGGTTTCTCTTCAAGTTCTGACGGGATAATTTTTGGGGGTTTTTATCTCAGGCTATTGGGTTTTCGAACGAGTGAGTATGGCGATAGACCGGTTAAAAAGGAAGAAAGCTTGCTTGTACTAGAATTGAGTATTCGTAGCCGTAATCAAACGAGGGTAGGAGGGTTGAAACGGTTCAAAAAAGTGGAGCCGTGAGATTAGGGGGTTGAGTGGTGAGAAGATACGAGGTCAGTAGACCCATTCGGACATATAACTCTAAAGAGGTAGGAAGAGATTGGGGCGGTTAGTCAGGCTTCCAGACAATGTAATGTCAATAATGCGGACGAAAGGATCGCGTACCAAACGAAACTCTTATGTGTATGCATATGTATACATAGATAGATAGGTAGATAGTAGGTCGTCGACCCGAGATGGCTATAGAGAGAACTGTTTTGCGAGGGTGGTATCAACAGGCCGTACGGGAGTCCAGTGATCTGCGGTGGGGATGAGGGGCGCCTTTTATCTGCCTCGCATTTACGAGGAAGGAGGAAGCAGAAAGCGAAGACGAAGCCGAGTTTAAATGGCAAGTGCCACTTCGAGGTTTAAAGATAGGAAAGCTTAAATTGACGTCGCAGAAATCTTTAGTAATCCTACCGAGGAAGGTTAAAACGAACGGAAGAGGCAAGATCCAATGGAGTGGGAGCACCGAACAGCTTTTTATATATAGTAATGCCCGGCCCGTTTCCTCTCCCGATGGCTGGCCCGCCGGGAAATCCAACCCCAGTGTCTAGAAGCCAAGACACCAGATGGGGGGTTATGCTGAAATCGCCCGCCTTTTCCTGCGCGCAAAGTGCTGCATCATAGGCAGGCTAAACCAGGGTTCCTCTCTCTACAGTGGGAAACCTTGGCTCTTGGCTTGGCATATTATTCCGCGAGAGCCCAGCATTTCCGCGGCAATTGTCCTTGCTGTTGACTTTTTTCATTACTCAGCCACCATATCTCTAACTTAATCATTTGGCCTTGTGATAGCCGCCCACCCCCCCCACACCTCACGAGTCGAATCGGCCTCTGAGATCATCAATGCCAATATAAGGGCCTCTTGGAGGCATCGGTTTGTTCAATGGCAACGGCCAAAAATTGTTCCATTTCAATTGGCGAATGCGAACAGGGTTTGTTCCATGTTTTTCCAGAAATAAAACCATCCCTTTTTATCAACGGCTTGGTGTTCGTCTCTGGTGATCCATGTTCTTCCTCTTGGTGTGTGATGGACGTTGAGAAGAAGGATCCTAGTGGCTTGGCGGAAGGGCACTGCCAAGGCGCCCCATTGCACGTGGAGTGTCTCTGCCACCCGTGGATGGAATGGCTGCATGGCTGGCTGCAATGGCCTGCTTGGCTGCTTGGGGGCGGCGGGACATGTCGCGTCCATGTCTCGAAGATATGCACTGCATGAAATAGTGCCAGAAAGCACCGAAACTTAGAAATGTGTTTTTCTCCTCCTCTCAGCATAAACCTTCCCTCTGAACCCACCCCCCACCCTCCCTGATATGCAAAGGCCAAATGCCGCCAACAAGTCCCCTTGCAGAGAAACACCTCCCTGTTCTCGCTCTCCCGCATCCCCTCTTCCTAGAACATGCGTGGACACCCGTGGGACCGCAGCTGAACTCCCGATGTTCCTCCGAGACCCGCGCCAAGGGCCTAAGCCTCTTCCTATTCGTCAGTGCAGTGGAAACACGGCCACGTGATCCACCGCCTCCTGATCCGCGTCCAGTGGTTGAGCGGCCCAGAGCCGTGGCATAGAGTCATTCAACGTACGTCATCGTGCGGGGGCGACTGTGGCCTGAGCAGCGGAGATATCTTGGCATGCCAAGGGCGGTTCCTCTTAGCGCGGGGTCTATTGGGGGAGAATCTTTGAAGATGGAGTTGAGGATTTGCCGATGGCTCCCTGGGATATGAATTTGTGCACGCAATGCTGGGGGGGGGGGGGGGGGGGGGGGAAGGGTCCTTTTATATATGAAGTTGAATTTCTCTGCCCCAAAGAAATGATTATGGGATCTTGAGGGAAGGATGCGGGTGTCTAACTTTCCCTGCTTCTAAATCCGCGGATTGGGAAGTAAGAAAGTTATGTTTTCCTGCATGACTGGGATCTGATGGGTTGTGAGGGGCGTGCACCTATCTCCCCAGCTGACAGGTTGACTCTTAAATCATTCTGGTGCAGCCAATACAAAGTGGGAACGACCTGCTCAGACAGCCGTATCTGAGTCTTGTCTTCCAGTTGCTGAATACTTGATACTTAATATAGACCGAGGGTGGGATGTATCAATGGGGTGAAATAACGGGATTTGCACCATTAAAGCCACGCCAGCTCCCCTCTTCCCGCCATTCCCGCCATTGCCAATCCCTCATTCGCGAAAAGAAATGGAGTGCAAAAGCAATAACAATAACAATCGACAATAGGCCGCCATACAGCCTTCTCCGTTCCCGTTCCCGTTCCAAATATTTACGTCCATTTATTACCAACCCCCGACACACGCCTGCGCCTTCATACTGTGGTACTAGGTAGGTAAGTATCTCCACGTACAACCCCTCCTCATAAAAACCCGAAGCAAGCAAATTCAATGTTCCAGAAGCCGTCTCTCCGTCACCCTAACCCTCGACTCCCACCACTCTCCTGCCTATCTATCCCCTGCTGCTATTCCCCTCCTTCTCACACTCTTTATCATCACCCATCTCCACCCCAAAGTAACTAAGCAACCGTATATCCTCTGCATCAGATCCATATAATTCTATTAAACTACTAATTATCATTAATCTCCCCGGCCCCGGTGTTTTATCTATTCATTCTTAATCTCTAGTCTCGCCTAATCCAGCCCAGATTTTAATCCTCAATCTTCAAATTCTCAATCTCAATTCCAATTTCACCCGCCTGACTCGGGATTAGAGGCAATAGAGTAATTTAACAGACAACAACTACAAGACAGGTACAGAATAACGTGATTAATTATCGAGTTGCAAATACTACTGAGCTGTGAGATTCACATACTTTTGAACGTACTCTATTTAATGTATTATATTCTCATCACTATCTCCAAAAAAAATTACATTTAAATAGTTATATTAATCTACAGATAATCAAAATGTTATATCAATATTAAAAGCTGTAAAGCTATATAATATCTCTGAATTTATTTTTATATTTTTGACTTTAAATTACGTTTAAAAACTCAATCATGAATTGAAATCTACTGAAGAGTCATCTCTTATAAAGCAATTGCTAGAAATTGATGAGTGACATTTATCTATTCAATCAGAGATTTGATATATGATAATTTAATTTCTACTTCATAATTAACTGCTGAATCCTAGAGTACATCTAGTCAACTGAGTTTATAATTTTGTCAAATATTATTCTGAGCTGCAAATTTGATAAATAGTATCAGGTTTACGGCTTCGATCCAGGCGCAGATGAACGTGTTTTAGATTGCCAACTAGGTAAGCTATTTAACGAATACCAAGGTGATTTTCAAAGAGAGGTTTGGAGAAGGATCTCCTTATATACTCATTTCCGCTAGGCGGTTGCTAGGCTGTTGCTAGGCAGTTTCCGTAGACGCTTTTCGGACAACGCCATCACAATCAGTTGAAGCAGGAGAATTTAATTGTCATTAAAGAGTACCTTCATATAGTTAATTGTTCAAGAGAATATAGTTGGAAAAATAAAAGATTAAAAATAATTGATTAAATAAATATAAATAATTTATTATCATTAAAGCTATATAAAATAAATTTCAATATTATTTATAATTATTTTAAAAATAAAAATTAGCAAATTATCTGCTATTAAAAACTTTTAGTTTAGTTATAAAAATTAATAATTTATAATTAGTAAGAAAAACTAACTAATAAATATCATTAAATTATTTTAATTAAAAAAACTTTTTTATAGTGTATTTAGAAAATTATTAAATTAAATAGTTACTTATTATTATTAATTATAGTAGTCAACTATAAAGTGTAATACTTTTTATAATAAAGTATAATTATCTATTTTTATATATTACCTTATATCTATTTTCTTTTTCAGTTATTTGTTATTTAAATCATTTAGCTTAATAGTATAATAAGTGTAAATTATATTTAAATTAATAAAACTTTCTATATATATACTTATTTTTCTAACTATAAATATTTAATTTAATTAATATCTTTAATAAATTGAAGTTGGAATAAAATTAATTAAGATAATATTTTTCTTAAAAATTATTCTTCAGATATATCAACATCATTAATTATCTTCTTTAAATCTTAAAGTTTGCATATATCTCAGAACTTTCATTAGTCAAAACATCATATAAAGAGCTTGCAAAAAATCATTGCATATAGAATCTCTCTAGCAGCTTAGTCTCTTCTATTAATCAACATAAAAAAACTACTTAGATATCAATGAAGATGAATCTGCTTATGACAAGAAATTAAAGTTCTTAAGACTAAGACTAAGAAAAAGACTAGAGCTATTCTACAGCAGCTCAATCGGCATCTTGAAAGCCAGATTTTTGATTTGTTTAATGTATCTTGATAGTGAGCTCTGCCACACTGCAGTGCCTGTTATAATATTGATCATTCAATGAGAAACTGTTCTAGTAGATAAGAATATATTTCTATACTCTAATCAAAAACTATTTTAAAGTTGTGAATAGAGCTGCGAAATTTTTAACTGCCTTACTCAATTTTGAAGCATTTAAGTGATTGATTAGTTTACATTTGAAGTTTCAGAAAGTCTAGATTTCATTTTTACTTTTTAACTACCCCGCGCGAAATATAAATTTAGCCCATTAATGAAGTGTGGGGTCTTGTAAGGATTGAGTTCCCTCAGTCGAGCAAGTAGCTACGGAATCCGGCATATGAAATTGAAATGTTCTTCAGCTATACTTTGAATTTCAGTTTTTAAAGCTCATGAATCCTAGACACTCTCAATTGGATAGATTTCATATTCATAGGCTAATAAGCTACCAGGGTACCTATCTACCAATATTCCTCCCTTTTTAATTTTTGATATATCATGGCGTCATAGAAGTTGGTAATTTAGTAATATCATTAACTATAGTTATACAACACATTCTTTGATTCAAATCAGATCAACCTCACCAACCTCTTTTCCTCTCTTGTCGGAATGCATGATTTATCATAAAAGTTTGTACTACATGCCCATTCAAATGCTTGATTCTTCAATAAGAACAAAGTAAAAGGAGATAAAAAGCACAATCTGCAGTTGGCTCAAGATTAGCTTAACAGAATGGCAAGCTTGATTCATTGCAGAGTTTGCACACTATAAGAACAACTATGATGAAAAGCAGATCACATGATAGAAGTATCTGACACCACTTATCATAGTAGGAGAACTCAATACTATATACAAAAATAGGTCTACTGCCGAGTACAGGTACAAAATCAACTTATAAACAAGAAAGTGAAAAAATCAATTAAAATGAAGATAAAAAAAGAAATTCATTCATTTACTCAACTTCACAATCTTCTTCTAGTATGTAAACTTAGTAACTTCTAGTAAATTGATAAGGTGATTAGCTGAAGATAAATCAGTCTGATCAGTAGTGTCTAGATTATTATTAAATACATAATTTAACAGAATATTTTGAAATGATAATAATTTCTATAAGATTTACAGTTTGAAAAAAATTATTATTATTTATGATAGAAGACTTGACAATAGAATTATCAGCTGTTTTACTCTCACTGTTATTTTTATTTATTTTTTTTTATCAAAATTTTTTATCTTATTGATATTATTCTTTAGTTAATTCTCAGAAATTTGTTCAGATAGATTAGTTAGTAAATTTCATGATAAAAGATTATATATTCAGAGTAAATAGATTAGTTCTCATGACTATAGTCATAATAAATATCAGACTAAGTGTTGAAATAAGACAGATTAATAGCATTAATCTAAGTGAAAGAAGATAATATATTCTTTTTCTTATTTTTTGAAGAGTCAACTTGAGATCAAATTTCTTTTATCATTAAAACTATATTTAGTATTATAAATATAGATTTAAAGATCTGAATTTTCTCAATCTTCTTCTAAATATAATTCTGCTAAATAATTAATAGGACTGAGTAAAAGATATAAAATATCAAGTTTTTAAATAAAAAAACTTTATATGTTTTTAAGTCATTAAGAGTCATATGAAATTTATCAAAGAAAAGATGAATATCATTTGTTTATGAGCTGGCAAATATTATAAAGATCAGATAAGCTTCTCATTGAAGTTATATCTTTGAAATTAAATATTTCTCCTCAATTGCATGTCAAAGAGAGTAGACAATATAAGTCTCATTAATCTTTTTGATATAAGATTTGATAGAGGAACTGAAAGTAGTGGACAGGAAAAAGTAAACTTATCAATTCTTAACCTTCTAGAAGAATGTCTATTGAAAGTTGTTAGATAAACTCTGGGTTTGCTCCTTCACTATTAGAACCTAGCATTAGGTATTTACTAGTCTAGACTTCATTGAGAACTTCCAGATCAGATAGTTGACAGTGCTAGTTAATATATTTGATTTATTAATACTCTTTATATCTTTTTTAAATTGAGCAATTATCTTACTAACATCACTCTTTAAGTTATAAAGAATATATTTAAATGCAGTATCAATCTCAGCATTCCAGACACTAAATTGGCGAAGCTATGAAGGAATTGACAAAGATATTGTAAACAGCAATATAGACTGCTATATAAAGATGTTCTAGTTGAAGCTCCAGTTCTAGAGCTTTTCATTTCTCTTTT